AAACTGTCGATATTTCAGATAGTCAGTTGGAAACACCATTATTGGAAGGCAATTTAAATTGCCTGTCGCATTGTCACTGATTACTATAATCAGTTCAGTTTATTGAGGGAAATAGGCGTAAGCCTTTGAGTACCTTATTATAAGCCTTTGAGTACCTTTGCCTCTCTCCCATGATATTGTTGACGTTTGTCCGTTTTAACTAATTAGTAATTTATTTGCCCGTTTACGTTTTGGGTTTTTGGGTTGCGCGCTCTGTTAGATTTAACCCGCAAGTAATTTGGTCAACGCATCCCTAAATATGTGTCGTGTAGTCAGAAAGACGTTATCAGGTTACGCGGGACTTAGAGAGGAGATTCAAACAAATAGTACTAGGGAGAAAAACAGAAGGACGTAATTTTCCATGACGAAAAAATGTTTAGTGTATGGTAAAATTTGTCGATAAAATTAGACAACATACATGGGCACGTTCACTCCTACCCACGATTTGCCGTTGTCTTTGGCCATGGCAGTATTTATCGCTTGGGTCGTGGTTCTCTAACAGACGTTTCTCACTATTTTTCCTTGTTATGTTTTTAGTACAACATCTCTCACCTTCCGTCCCTGAATTTGATCAGCTTTCCACTGCGGCCTTTTTCTAGTATCTTCGTGGTGCCACTTTGTCAACTACAAGGACCTGATCTCCAATATTGAGTTGCGGGGCCTCTCTGATCCACTTTTGCCTAACTTGAATAGATGGTAAGAAGGCACTGACCTACCTTTTCCAGAACATATCACTTACATGATGGGCTCGGCGTCCCCGTCGGCTCAGCTTACAGATGATAAAAAATTCCGAGTGTTCAGCAAAGTGTTGGTGATTGACTACAGCGTACTCGTTCGGGTCCGTACTCTTATTAATTAGCGGCCGGTCATTCATTGTCTTTTCGGTCTCGGCTTTGGTTGTTGTGATGACCTAATCTCTGACTACTTGTGAACCCAAAATTGAACGTAAAATCCGTCTGACGGACCGTATCAGGCGCTCCCATTTTCCTCCCCAATGATTCGCTGTGGGGACGTGAAGATCCAATCGCATCCCTTCTCCACAAGAGAGCTAACTATTCGGTCATGATTCTATTTCTCCAGCAATTCCTTCAGTTCGTCCCCAGCCCCCTTGAAGTTGGGTCTCCTATCACTGAAAAGTTTTCGTGGACAGCCTTATCGGGCAACGAATTTGCCGAAAGCACACAGAAACGAATCAGTCCCTATATTTGTGATCAACTCTGTGCGAACTGAGCGAATGCTGAGGCATGTAAACAGGCATCAATACCTATTTTCCGACCGTCGGGTTATTTTTACCTGGAATGGTTCCGGTGAATATAAAAAGTGGATTATACTGCCCCAGTCGATCAAATGGCAGCGGTGTCATTAACTGTCGACAGGTTTGCGAGTGCCAGCGCCAACACACAAAACAAAACCCAACTACTCGTTGAATCTGTACTTGGCCTTGAATTATTCAGTATTTTTCTCGCAGGATGGTACTGGTGTGTGATATCTCTGCATGACCATTTAGTTTATGAACATGTTGCACGATTAGCCGACATACGAAATGGTTTTGCGGGAGGATAACCGGGTGTTTGGTCTCGTACGTAATCGGTGCGTATTGTAGTCAAC